CTGCTGCCTCTGCTTCTGCCACAGCTCAGCTGAACTGTTCCTGGGTCCGCAAGGGTCTGCGGGGGAGAACTGGAATGGGTGGTGGCTCCGTATCGTGCCAGGCAGCATTGCCTAGTGGGGAGCAGACCTGCTCCGCTGTCCCCGGCCAATCCGTCCCCACACTCCATTAGAGCCATTAGTAGATGAAGATCAATAAGCATATCCACCAGGATATTTAGAAACCCTGAAGGGATGCCCGCATAAACATGTGAAAAACTCCATAGTGATTCCTGGAAGCCTAACTATGAGACAAAGGCAGAGTTAGGAATAAAAGAAAGGTCCCGAATCTGTTTTCAGTTGAGGCTGGGTCTTTGTAAGACAAATGCTTAGCTAGTGATTTGTGGTTACTTAACCATCACTCTAGCAGGGTAAAGGGACCTTAACAGAGCCCTGATAATTCTTATTATTACAAAGCACTGGTTGCCAGATCTCAGACTGCCTTACAAGCTGACAGAAGAGAAACAGTCTGGGTTGCTGGAGCCCTCAGTGACAGAAACAACTTGTTCCACCAGCATAACCAGCCACAGCTCTTCAAACATACCTTAAAGTGCTTTTTCAGGTTCAGTAATGTTTTTTCCAAGAAAAAGGACATGGCCTTGGTCATCTGGCAGGTCACTGACAGGCTTAAGAAGAAAAGCAGTTCCCAAACCAGTGCTCTGCCCCCCATGGTAACTGACTTCTCCATAGCTCCTTCTCATAGACAAAGTGCAGCTGGAAGGACTCTAAGGACTCTGTTGTGTGTTGGGTTCTGCTGAGATGTGCTGACTGTCTGGAGGACAAGGCAGAAGCACCGGTGTCACTGGTCCTGGAGACGCAGATGAGGTTCTGACAGTGGGTCAGTAACTCCTGTCATCTCCTGGTACTTCTGGCAGTTCTCCCCAGCACAGCCTCCACACATCTCTCCCCTGTGCAACCGTAATCCCGTGTCTTTTCTGTCCCTTCAGGATTTTCAGAAGTCCAGCCCAGGCTGCGTCACAGCTGTCCGCAAAGCCTTCCAGCAGATCAAGGATCTGTGCCTGCGTGGAGGTAAGGAGGGACAGCCCCGCAGCAAGCAGTCCCAGCCACGTGGAAAAAAAGGTTGATTCTGGTTTACTTCAGCTTGGTCTTCCACTGGCTCAGCTAAATCAATGCAAACGCCCGCTTGGCCGGCTCTTTCTGCTTGCAGGATTGATTTTTGATGTAATGAACAGTTTCAGGTAGCATTAAATTAGTAACTGACACAAAAATGAAAGCATCTGTGTGGGGGCTTGCACAGTGCTAATGAAACTGTCTTGTCTGCACCAAAGTGCAGAAACACCCGCAGGTGCAAACCACCCGCATTTGACGCTGGTGAAGCCTCATGTTTCACCAGATGCTTGTCCTCACTACCCACACCGCTGAGAACTGCCCAGGTGGGTACGACAGCTGCGTGGCTCAGCTCACTGGACATATCTGAGAAATATTTGGAAGGCAATCTAGGTCTTGAAGCAGCCATCGCCGTCTCTTATATCCCCAGCCTTGGACAGTTAGGTGAAGCCGAGGACAGGGACTGGTGAAGATCTCTGCAGTGTCTCCCATGTCGGCCAGAGCAGATATCATGGGCTGATGCCGCATCTCCTGGGAGCCCTACGTGGTGCTGGGTTCCTGGTCTGTCTCGAGGCCTGGCTTGCTCTGTGGTGCAAGGGGATGTCTGCCTCCGACAGCTGCTGCCACTGCCTCGCTGCAGGGGCTGGGGCCCCCCCGCCCCGAGGGGGCGCGCCGCGGGTCCAAAACCCTGTTCAGCTTTGGATCATAGCAGGAAAAACATTACTGTGCAATAGCCAAGGTCCTGAAGCTCTGCCTGGGCCACCCTTTCTGCAGCGGGGTGGATAAGGTGGTCACGTTTCAGGCTTAGGCTCAAGTGAGTACCCAGAGGCAGCTGCCAGGCCTCGGGTTTCAAAGTAAAGGCAGCCGGGCTGCAGTGGGCAGCCTGTGGAGCAGGACGGGGACCGACGGGGGCTGCGACTCCAGAACGTGGGCGATGAAAATGAAGGGAGCAGCTTTCCCCAGCAGAAATGCAATGGTACATGGGTACCTCTTGAAGGAATCTCTTCAAAGACAGATTTCCTGACTCCAGCTGACCTCTGCAGCACACTGAAGTTTGAAGGCAGTCTCAGGAGTCCCTTGTGACTTTTTGAGGACTGTTCTTACTTGGCAATTCTTACTGCAAATGCACCCAGCTCCCAAGGAGCTCCCTTTTTCTTTTCTCTTTTTGATTATTTTTTTTTCCCCTGCCAGTTCTTCCAGCCAGTGATTCCCACTGGGATCTGTGCGCTGCACCCTGCTCTCCTGCATGAGAGCTCGTGTGGGGAGACGTCCGTGCAGGGCACAGCAGAGCCGGGGAGTGAGCCAGGCAGGGCACCGGCGGGGTGGGCTCGTCCCAGGCTGCTCTTCTCCGGGTCCCAGTGGGCGCTGGTTCCCCCGAGCTCCCCGCGGCGGTGTCTGCAGCTCTGCGAGGGGCACAGCGCGGGCCGTGGGCCAGCTGGGACGTGAAGCTGCACAGAGAGGCTGTGCCTGGACATCCATGCATGTGGAAATTTAGATGTAATGTGTCCTTCCCACGAGAAACCTCACCTGTGTGTTATGGCATCTCCTTACTCCTGAGTGAAACACGATGCTGAAGCCTGGTGTTATTTTCCTCTGTTGAAGTTTGTGCCTTTCATTTTCGTTCCTTCTGCAGCCTACGATGAAATCAGCAGCAAAATGGCCACGTGCAATAAGATCTCTAACAAGGAGGACGTTTACCAGCTTTTTGGGTTTGCTAGAAATGCCTTCACCATGATGGCCATGATGGACTACCCTTACAAAACAGTTTTCATGGGTCACCTCCCTGCCAATCCAGTGAAGGTGAGTCCCGGGACGCAGGCGAGAGTCAGGGCTGCTGGTGTGCACCTCGGTGACCGCCCAGCCTGGGACGCTGCCGGCCGCTCGCTGTGGGGGTGGTCACGGGGAGGTGGCGGTGGATGTGGCAGCCCCTCCGCTCTGGCAGTAAAGCTGCACATTTCAAACTTCTCCGCGATGGTGACTGCTGTGTTTGAAGTGCACTGCCGTAAGGCTCGTCGAGGAGGGTTTGCTGCAGCCACTCCTACCCTGCTCTGCCTTCACCTTAGACACAAAGCCCTGTGCAAGCTTGTTGACTTCAGCTTTTAAACACTAAAAACCTGTAGCTTTTTTAAAAAATGTAGTTTTGTTGTAACCCACTTCAACACACTTTCATACATTTGTTTTTTCTTGGTGGATAGAGATGGAGATGTAAAAAATCAGGCTCCTTTCTAAGTATCACCCAGGAAGATGCCATACCTTAGAGTATAACGCAGAGGAATGTCTGCTGCTGTGGGGACAGGGAAACCTGTACACTGTCAAGAGAGTCGGAGATGGCAAAGTGTGGGAAGGGGCCTGGTTCTGAGGGTTACAAAGACTTCTCAGGTACCAGCTGCTTTTGTCATGTCCCAGCTTTGATCCCAGTCACCAGCTGCTGTTGCAATTCTCGGTTTCTTCTGGTGTGCTGTCAGCTTCGTGCCGCTGTTCTCTGCTGCACTCCAGCACACCACACCGACAGCACTTTATTTGCCTCTGGCCTTGTGGCATTGATGGTTTGAGTCCTACCTGGAGCAAAATGCACGCTGTGCAAGAGGTCACACAGGCTGCCCTGGGCTGGGACTCGGGAGGTGCTGTCTCGGGCACCAGTGGGCATCCAGTTCCCTCCTAGGGTCTGTTTAACAACCTGTAAAATGGAAATTATTATTCTACCCCCCTTGAGAAGGGCATTAAAATATTCTGATCACAGGAGGAAGGATCTGTTGTGTATCACTGTGACCTCTGCACAGCTGCTTAACTTGGTAAAGGAACTGGTGGTCCTGGCCCTGTCTCCCTGTTTCTATGTATTTAGTTGCTAGAAGGGGGAAAAAAGAAAAAAAACCAAAAACCTGTTGCATTAGGCCCTTGCTGAACCATGAAATGTGTAAGTGATAATTCTAATGATTCTTCCAGCTTAGCCCCACCATGGAGCAGAGACTGTTAACTGTTCTGTCTGCAGTTTACCTGTAATGTGTCCCATCCAGGTCGGCTGTGAACAAATCCTGGCCCACACAGACCCAATTCAAGGCCTGGCTGCTCTTGTGGGTGAGTTAATATTATCAGTTTGGTCTTTTATTTAACACCCTGTTTTCTAGAAGCACCTGTAAGTAGAGCTGTTGCAGTGTTGTGCGGGTTGTGTATCATGGGAGCCGGTGCGACTCCCGTCTCCCACTGGGACATTTTGGCCCACATTGGCTTTCTCCGTTGGGATCTCCCGTGGTGGCCCATGGGCTCATTCTCTCGCTTTTCCAAACTTATCATGTTGGTCAACCATTGCAGCCCCTTAGCCTGCTGACTGTCTGTGAGATGTGGACTTCTAAGGTACTTGGTTCTTCTCCAAAAGCTTACCCGTACTCTGGCTGGAGCAGTCACAGGTTCAGTGCACATTCACTGAAGTTTTCTGGTCCACTTGTTGAGGACAAGGTTGTCATCACAGTGCCCTACGGTCTTAGTCCCGTGGCAAGACAGTCTTAAATACATCACGTACGTTTATCTCTGTGAGTACTTAATTTGTCAGCCAGCAGTGTTTGTAAGGAAATATTAGAGAATTCAAAGCTCTGTTGAAGACTTCCTCATAAAGTCTCTCAAGTTGCTCATTAAAAATTTCTACATTAGTCATTATTCAGAAAAACAGGTTCTGAATGACAAAAAAATGATTTAAGAAATCCTTATGGGTTTAATGCAGCTTACTAGGATTGGGAACTCATTCTTTTTTTTGAAAATTATGCACATCATCATGACAGCACCAAGTCAGAAAGGCAGCAGTTCCAAATCACTGCTAAAGATATTTGACTGGCAACTAGAAGAGTTGTTAAAATACTAACGTCTCGGCAAACACTGTCAGGTCTGCTTGACCTATTCACATCCTACTTCTTTTCTGAGGCAGAGTGGGACTCCTGTTCCTTTGTGATGGCCAAGCTGAGGGTAGATTTTTTCCTCCTGCCCGCAGGGGAGCACTTTGCACCCCTCCCCATCTCGCCAGCTGCATTCGCTTGGGACAGTTTAATCATGCAAGAGGCATGATCCACCAGGGCTTTAGGCAGGGGACTCGCTTTCTGCCATTCCTGCCCCTCTGTGTCGTACAGGAAAACACTGTCGCCTTTCTGCATGCGCTGCAGCGACGCACCTCCTGCAACGTAGAGCGTGGACTCATGGGCTGTGATGCTGAACTGGCAGCAGTTGAAGGACAGTGTTAGCGTTGTCCACTGATTGCTTACAGGACAATAATACTCCGTCTCGTTGACGTGAATCCATTCCTCTGCCTGCAGAGAACCAGACCAACACTCACCCATCGTATTACGCCTCGAGTGGGTATCACTGTCACGTCAGGCTCGCTTGGCTCATGATAAAGAAAACCAGTGTCTCAACATCTGTTTGAATACTGTGGGACTCAAGGTGCCAGGTTTTCAATCCACATTTAGCAATGAGAGCCTCAAAAGAAACTGAATAAAATACCAGAATGGCACTGCTTTAAAGGAGCTTTCTCCTTCTTGGAACGTGAGAGGAGTGAGCTGAGCAAGGGGTCACAGGGACCTGCTGGAGCCGGCATAGCCCAGGTCCTGCCTGCTGTCTGGACATTTAGCACATTGTGAAGAAAATCATCTAAAGAGAGCTATACTGCATTGACTTGTGGACAATAACCGAGGCTGTGTCATCTGGAGGAACCTGCTGTCAGCCTGGATGTGCAGTTTCTCCTTACAGATTTCTGTCCCCTCCTCAGTGAGCAATTAAGTATTCTAAGGCACCCTTGTTCCTTCGAAAGACACCATACCCGCCGTGGTAAAATGGGGCAGGCCCTGAGTCTTCACACGTTCAAACGGGAATTGCTGAATGATCTTTGAAAACTCGGTTCTCTTGGCTTCAGGGAGTGGGACTCTCCTCGAGGAGCCCTCCAGTCCCTGTCAGGTCTCTTCCCAGCCCACCCTCCCCAGACGGCTGGGCAGTGCTTTCCCTCCTCTTTCAGAGAAGGGAAATCCGGGTTTGAAGAGACTTTATTTGCGTTCCAGGACTTGAGCCCATCTTTCCTAAAGTCTATGCTAGTGTCCTCACTGCAGCCCATTCCTCTTCCCATCCGCCAGCGTTTTGCCCCCTTTCAGCTCAAACAAGGAAAATCAGGTGGGCAGGGGAGGTGCGTGACCAGTTTCACCCTTGGGTTTTCCTGTATTAGCAGGCTGCGCCTCCACCATATGTTTTCTCTATTTAAAAAAATGCTTCGAACAGCTTTGTACTCCTACAAATAGAGTGTGACAACAGGGCAGCGTCTGATGCGCACAGCTGCAATGGCAGGGACATTTTCGTAAGCTTATTGGCCTGACTCACAACTGTGCCCGTCCACTGAGAGACCAAAAATAATGCAGTTGCTGGTCAGCATGGTGGGTAAAACGGTCAGGGCCGAGCAATACAGAGACTCCATTCTGGGTCAGATTTGGGGTTAGAAGAGCGAATGAACTTACTCCTTTTAGCGTCCTTCCTCCAATGCAAAAGATCCTGTCCCTGACAGTAGCCATCCCGTGCTCACAGCGGGTGAAAGCCATGGCACTGTTGCCAATCCAGCGTCGGAGGCGAGGGAGGTAGCTGTAAGTGTCTCGTATGGTTTTGCCCCCGGAGAAGCCCCCTGAAAGGAAAGCAGAAGCCTTGAAAATCTGTCCGTCATCCTCTCTGACACCCAGCAAACCTTCCGCAAACATCAGCAGAGCTGATTTTTTTTTTTTAAAACACCTATGAAGCTCAGGTTTAAAATTTCACACCATTCTGGAGAGGTGATGCGGCGTGAAATTTAAAACCTGAGCTTCTTAGGTATGCTGAAGAGGAATAAAAAAAAAAGACCCCTTCCCAGTTGCAGCTCTTTCTGTAATAATTTTCCACAAAAGATTTTTGAATAAAGCTCTTGGGGTATTTCAGGTGTAACCAGGAACAGCTTTAATGAGGGAATCTGCTTCCAGCACACGCAGTCACAGAATAGTGGTTTGAAAGGAAAGTGTTCAAAGCTCTTTGAACTTTGGCTCGTTGACAGAAGGTCACAGCCCAGCGGCCAGTGCTGGTGGCAACTTTTTTCTTTACTAGGCACTCATTTGTGCATTTTAGGGATGCGTTACAAAAAGCTCCTTGCAGAGGAGGGTGCTGCTGTGGGGAGGGCCGTGCCTGCCTGCTGAATTCCCGCCTGCAGGCAGTCTTTGCAAAGGGGGAAGACGGTATCTCGTGTTGGAAGTAAGCCCCAGCTCACATGGGCATGACACTTGGTCTGCCTGGAGCTTGGGTTTAAATCCCGTACGGAAGTGATGCTCCTAATTGTTTGGTTTGCTTGGGCAGGGCCGTGGGCTGGCCAAATCCAGTTTGCAGTTACCCCACTAGTTCCGAAGGAAGTGGATGCCACAGGTAGGTAAGGGTATGGTGGTATCCAGCCTAGATCACTACGGTGTGTTTGAAGCTCTGCGAGGCAATTTTGTCCTTGCTCTCTGGTGGGAATCGAGACCAACAGAGGTTAACTGGGGCTTGAACCCGAGCCCCAGGCATTGCCCAGCTGACCCATTGTCCGGCCAGGCTGCTGTCTGCGGGGTACCCCCCTGGGCCGGACACCCCCCATGCTGCCTTCCCGGCCCCTGGCCCTCGGGCCTGCCACCCCGCACAGAGCCGTGCCCGGCACTGCAGCTCTGCGGCTGAGGTTAGGCTGGACTGGATGAGTGCAGCAGTCGCAGCTGGCCCTCACTGGTTTGCAAAGCCAGGAGCCTACAGCGACGACAGAACGGCCCGGGACTGGTAAATGCAGAGGCAGTAACACAAAGAGCACAGCGCTCTCCCTGGGACAAACCAAAGGTTATCTTTCAAGTCCGAATTAGTACCCGCAAAAGCTGAAGCTCCCACAGTGTCCTGAAGCGTTTCAGCCCACGCTGCTCCGCTGCTGAGCACACCGCACCATCTGCCAGCAATCCCCTAACAGCTGAGGACCCCTTGCAGGGCAAGAGCTGTACGGGCTCGGTGGGTAGGAGGGTTAGAGCCTGCGTTGTGCTGCTTTTTGTGCCGGTTAACAAAGCAGCGCAGCAGGGTTAGTCCCACATCTTCCAGTCAGATGAATGGCAGGGTTTAATCCCACCCCCAGCGCTACGGCAGCCTGCTCCTGGTTTACTGTTTCAGACAGGAAAGGTTTGGGATTTATTGCAAGGTCGAAGGCGAGTAGGGGTGTGGATTGCAAGCAGATGATGTGACCTTTAATGTCATGGAAAGAAAATAATTCCTGCCATTCCGGAGGGCAGTGAGGCTGTGCTCACCCAGCAGGAAAGGGACACTGGAGCTGTGGGTGTTACTGGTGTAGGTGCAGGCTTAGACTGCGACATTAAGATGCCAGCAAAAATCAGTGACGCTATATGAAAATACAGTGCTTTCTGCTAGCTCTGTCACCTGAAATGTAGAGAATTCCCTTGTGGGTTGTGCCTGCGTGATCAGCAATCGGCGTGGGGAAAGGAGCCCCAAACTCCCACTTGTTGGCCGCGGGCTGGTACAGTTCCACGGTGCGGGTGAGGGTCCCCAGCAGCGTCCCACCACCCACGGCGAAGATGCAGTCAGACAGCACGTCTGCGTGGAAGCGTGTCCGTCTCTCCAGCATGCTGGCGACCTGGAGCCAGGACGCGCTGCGGGGATCAAATCGGAAAACCTAGGATCACAGCAGATGGGCGATGGTTAGCAGAAAGCAGGTGGCTGTCTTGCCTCTCCTCTGGCTTCAAGAACAGATAAATGTTCTCCCTGGGCTGGGGAAGGTTTTATATTCAGACCTGCTGAATATAAACCTTCCAGTGGCAGCCAGCTGATGCAGCGGTCCCTCGCCAGCGGAGCCATGAGCTCAGTTACAGCCTTTCCGCAGGCCTGCGGGGCTCTGGGAACAGGCTGTGCTCTCAGCTTGCAGCAAGCAGGAGGGGAAACACGTTGGCTTAATCAAAAACCAGCTAGCGTGTGTCAGCTGAGAACTGTGGCAGTGAGATTTACACACGCACATTTTCATCTCTGCTTCTGTTTGAGTGTGGAGTCAGGAAAGCGGCTGAGCTTTGCCCGCTGCTCTCGCCTAGAAGGCAGCAGTGGCCTCCCCTCTCCTCGTCCCTGGTGGCATCACCGCGGGGGCACAGCACCTCTGCTAAGTCTCAGCTTCCACTCGTGTCTCATTCAGCAGCAAATTCGTCCCTGCGGCTGTGTGGTCAGGCCTGGCTGGAGAGCCCAGGTCGCTGAGCACAGGCAGTGCCTGCAGCCCCGCATGCGGCGAGTGCCGCATCTCCGCTGCCTTCCAACCCCTCTACGTACGCTGGGGAGCTGCTGTCGGCAGCGGCACGCTGAACCACGAACAGTGCTGAAATGAGCCCCCACGGAGCATGGGAAACTAAAACACGCTGGCTTTTCTAGCAAGCTCACTGAAGCCATCTAGGAAAACATAAAATCCTGCACAAGCCTTTTTACTCTCCAGGCAGCAGGGGAAGGTTCTGGGAGCTAAAGCAAATTTGCCTTTTAAGGGCAAAACCAAGGAAGGAGCGTTCTCAAGTGGTGTGTTAGGCTTTAACCGTGCCTCCCGAGCGCGAGTCCCATGGCAGCAGCAGCGGGGACAGGGGAAGCAGTGATGGAGTTGCTCGACTGACTGGCATGGACCTGGCTGAACCTGTGCTGTGGAAGTTGTGTCCAGATGAGGATGACAATTTACAGTAGGAGCAAGGTGAGACCAGGGCAGGACCCGATTGCTTCCCAGAGGGTTTGGAAGCCGTATTCCCAAGGGCTTTCAGTACTGCACGGAGCACTAAGAAATATGTAGAGGTGGAAAGATGTGTGGTGGGCAAGAGGAGTGATTCCCTCCCTTCCTCACCCAGCCATTTTGCCAAGGCTAAAGGTTTCTCGTGTCCTACCTCATTTGACGGCTGCTTTCCTGTGGGATCAAATTTGCGCTGTCCCCCGATGACAAAGAGGAAGCCACCGACGACGGCGACGCAGTGGTTGTACACTGGCACGCAGAGATCCCCGACCTTGTGCCAGGTGCTGCAGCTCTGGTCTGCAGCCCACATCTCTCTGCACACGCAGTTGTCAGCGGCTCTGCCGCCGGCAACCAGCAGCACGGCGGAGCCGGAGCGGAGGTTCGTGCTCCGGCTCTGCAGGACTGGCTGAGCGTACGGCTGGGAGTGGTAATTCAGAGCCTCCTGCAGGTACCGTCGGCAGCCGGAGTCCAGCCTCATGAGGGGCATCTCCTGGACACAGCTCTGCAGCTCCCGTAAAGGGATGAGCGGGAATCTTACGCGCCTTAAAACATCCGCTGCGTCTTTCAGCCGCGTCCGGTCGTGCTGCAGCCAGCTCACAGCGGCTCTGAACAGCTCCAGCTCGCTGCATCCCGCCGTGTCCGTCCTGTCTAAAATCTCACAAAGGGTTTCTCGGTCCAGGTCTTTCAGGCACTGAGGATCAGCCAGGATCTGTTTGTAATGCTGCCCTACACAGCACATGGCTTTCTGTCTCAGCTCTGCTGGGCCAAGTTTTTTAGCAATGTTAAGAACATCCATGCAGTTCTCACCATTCAAGCAACCCTCCAGAAAACGGAAGCACAGCTGGATCACCTCCCGAACCAGGAGGATTTCTGCAGCTTTGAAGGTCTCCTCGATATTCTGTAATGAGAGGTCTAGTTTGTTGGAGTAAATGAAGTTGAGAACGTTCCTCAGCCCGGCAGCACTGACGGCCTTCAGCCGGACGTTACCATCCGGGCTCCCCGCTCTCGTCACGTTTCCAACAAACAGGATCTTGCAGTAATTGCTTGCTGACGCTAAAACGATCTTGTGGGCTGGAAAGCAAACCCCCTCTGCCTCCAGCGTCACGTCGCACAGCGTGCCCTGCGAGCGAAGGCTGCTGAGCCCTTCCAGGAGTTTCGCGAGGTAGGTGTCCGACACGAGCCTGGCCGTGCCGGCCTGCCGGCTGAGCACCCTCGCCCCCAAAGCCGCGTAGCCCGG